GTAAAATGTTTACTCACTTTCTGGAGGAGATGAACTAAGAGCCCATGTAATTGGTCAATTTCCAGAACGTTTTGAAAGGAAGGCTTGTGGCTTACCACAAATTAGCACTTTATGTGACACTATAAGTATACATATTTTTAGATTTATTAACACAAGATTGTGAAATATTTTGCTTCTTCTTAGGACATTCATGATAAAGAATGAAATTTTCTATAAAACACAGTTGTGAAACCTCACCACCTGGCCTAGCTTTTTTGTGCTGGCTAAAGAGTCTTCCATATAGTATTTTATTTGCCAAGTCAGAGTGCAGCTCATTCGAATTCAACTCATCCAATATTGGTTACTTCTAGGTAAATGCTTCCCCCCCCCCAGTCTATTAAGGAATAAAGAGTAACTCATTACTCAAGTGATTCTGAAAGCACAAGTTAGTGTGTTTGGTATAAGAAAACAAAAAAACATCATCCCTCGAACCAAAGTGCAGTGCATGCTATTATCTTCACATGAAAACGAAACACTGCTTACCTATAGAAGGCATTCTAGGTAAGATATGGGCACACAGGGGTCCGGTCTGTCTTTTAGTGCTATCTCAGCCTTCTGTTTAAATAAGGACTTCTTCCATGTGGATTGCTAAAATCAAAAAGATATTCTGAAATCTGGAGGTGCTGCCTGGACTTTCAGAGGAGTATCAAAAAATCTTTTTTTGGTGATGATTCTTTTCCTGGAAGCTCTTACAGCCGTGGTAAGGTTACACAAGGGAATAGGTTCTCTATTATTCTCTTCTGTTTACTTCACATGAATAAAAATCTCTGGGCAAAGAATATGAATAAGGAACCAGAAGAACTAACTTTCATTTTCCTAGAAAAGAGGGTAAAATCTAATCTCCATGTTTGTCTACAAGGCAATGACTGAGGATAGTTTGGTAATGAGGTGCTAGCATCTGAACTGGTGGAAATGAGAAGATTCATCATTTTAGATAATCCTGGAAGAGAAACTTACAAGTAATTTGGGATGAAAATACCTTTTTAAAAAAAAAAATCTGAACACTTGAATTAAAAAAAAAAAAAGCTGGTGGTGAGATCTTTTAGATGGTGAAATATGTCCTCATAAGAATAAATGGAAACCTTATCTTCAAAGGCTATTAAAACTAAACAGGGCCCTAGAGACTGGAATATTGATTTAGGCTTACAGTGAAATGAGGACAAGTCCTAATACTGAAGATCTTTTCTCATTTTGCCTGCCTGTAAGCATACCATTAGGCAGAAATCCAATTGTTATCATTACAACTGTCAGTTATCTGGCTGGAGTATTTTTTTCTATTGAACTTATACAATAATTGAAGCACTTAGAAAAGAGAAGTTCATAGTAATAAATAGTTGTAAACTTTCTTTTTATTGATGTGTGGTTAGCATATTCAATTTTCCTCTTGCAAGTTGTACCTGCTTTACTGTCTCTTCCAAAAGTCCTCCATAGAAATCCAATCCCCTGCCCTACCTTTCTAGCTCTCTTCAGTGCTTAAGAAGTCTTAGGGGTAGTGATCAGACTTGTGTATTCACTGGGATAGGGCCCCCTTTTCTTCTAGGAACTTCTACTACTATTGTAGGGTGCTACCTTCTCTGCAACTTACAGTCTTAAAGAATTGCCCAGACAATGAGAGGCTGTGACTCTCACCCTGATTTATCCAGCTAGTAAATGTCTCCAAGGCAGTACGTGAACATGTCTTCGAGGCAACTTCATTATATATTGATCTTGAAGCTTTTTTTAAAAAATTTATGGAATTAAACAAGCATTTCCATGACATAGTATAATAAAGATGATTGCACATGAAACTGCAAATCTACTATGTACAACTTGCTATTCCTTTTAAATATATAATAGTATAAATGTATGTAATAAATAATGTAATGTAAATTTTTTCTTTTTTTTTCCTTTTTTCACCACTTTTCCCCTCCCCTGCCCTAGAGATGGCTACTCTTAGACACAAATAGGCTTATGTATATATATACACACACACATTATGTATGTATATATGTGTCTGTTTATAAGTAAAATTATTCTATACATACTTCTATTTATCAGTTCTTTCTTTGGATGCAAATAGTAATTTCTTCATATGTCCTTTACAATTAATTTGGGTATTTATAAGACTTATTCCCTCAAAGTCATTCTTAAAACAATATTACTGTTTCTGTGTGAACTTGAAGCTTAAAAAGAAAAACGTACTCCACAATATAAAGTGATTGCACTGAAGTAAGAGAGCAAAATCAAACATAATATGGAGAGGAAATGCAAGTGCTGAAAGATCTAGTTTAAAATCTTCTCTTGAAAACCTGCCTTTAGCTACTGAGTCATAAACTGGAGTTCCCTACAAATCTTTGTGGGTTTTTTTTGAAGTTTTTATTGATATTTTTTCTGTTTCTTACATTTTATATCACCATAGTATCCCATGTATTCTTTCCCCTCCCTCTCCCAGAGAGCCATCCCATGTGACAAATGGTATATTTTTTAGAGAGCAAAAAAGTCAGCACAACTGTCCGATACATTGAAAAAGTCCAAAAACGTGCCACATTTAACACCTATGGCTCTCCCGTCTCCTTGAAAGGGTAGATTGAAGGTGTCTTCTCATATCCCTTCGTTGGCATCTTGTTTGTTCTTTATAATTTTATTACATTTACTTTTGATTTTTAATGTGTCGTCTTTGCGTCTTCTTAACTGTGTTCTTTTCAACACATACTTATTAAGCACCTAACATGTTCTGTAAGACTTTTGAAGGTGTTTTTGTGCCCCCCTCAAACTTGTTGCTAAAACTTTTAAGTATTTAGATTCTTAAAAACAAGGACCATAAGGATTTGAGTAGGGATAGGGACTGGACCAATGATGTCATGGCTCCCAGGTGAAGAAGATTCTAGTCCTGAGCACCACAGACTAGCTGGTTCACCTTCTAACCTTTGTGAATAGCCACTTCTTCTACCATAAAATAAGATATGAGCTAGGCCAGGGGCAGGGAACCTGTGGCCTCCAGGCCACATGTCTAAATCCAAACTTCACAGAACAAATTTCCTTAATAAAAGGATTTGTTCTGTAAAACTTGGATCAGTCAAAAGGCCTCACCCAAGGACCTAGAAGGCCACATGTGGCTTCAAAGCTACAGGTTCCCTACTCCTGAAAGCAATCCATAAGGTCCCTTTTAGGTTTGTGACTCTGATAATGAACAAATGATTCCATATACTTATTCGGTGGCTTTAAGAATAGCATAGTTGGGGTTTTTTCCTATTTTTTAACCCTTCCTGGCAGCATAACATTTTATTGGAAATCTTCACACTGTTTTATAGTAGGTCTGAGGTAGTTTACCAGTTTGGATTTTTCACCACCCACCCCTTGCCATTTTAGCATAAGGAAGGGGTGGAATGCAAGTGAGCAGAAAATAACAGATACTTACTAGTTGTGTTAAACTGGGCAAGACATGATCTCTGTCTAATTCGGTTTTCTCATCTATAAAATGTGAATAATAATAGAACTTCTTTCACAGGGTCATTGTGAGAATAAAATGATATGTATGATATTTGGAAAGCATTTTGCAAACTAAAAGTGCTTACCTAAAAGTACATGAATGCTAATTGTTATTAGTCTTATTTATTAGAACTAGGATCATTTCTTAATACTCAATCTGATGCCTTTGAGCCCTACCATTAGTCTTTCTGTTTAAGAGGGATGGGTAGGTAGTGGCAAAGGAAAAGAGAAAGAGGGAAATGAGAGTGGGAATGGTGTTTGAATCTACTCAGAAGTTGGAGGGTGGAAAGCAGAATCAAAGCGGCAAAAAAAAAAAAAGACTTCCTTTCTCCTTCTCTTTCTCTTTCTCTTCTTCTTCTTATATACTTCCTTCCCAACAAAAGATAATCACTCTCCCTGTCTACTGCCCAATCTTCCTCGTGCCATTTCCCTTTCTTTTCTTCCCTCAAGCTTCTGAGTTGTTAATGGCAATGTTTATAATGTTCAGTTTAATTTAAAAAGCACATATGGAGAGCCTATTATGTGACATGAAATGTGCAAAGATAAAAATGAAAATTATCCCTGACTTCAGGAAACTTATAGTCTGTTAGAGATATTACCTAGCACTATAGCATAAGCACGAAAAAGTGTAAACTTATCAATGGTGTAGAAAGTCTGAGAAGATAATGAGGAGAAAGGCATTGTTACTTCCACATAAGCAGAAAATTGAACACCTGCTCATGTAATCTCTGGGCTTGTCCCAATCCTAAAAGCAAACAAATATCTTTTTGCCTGTCAAGATCTCCTTTCATTTTGTCCACATATAAGTTATGAAAATTGTGAGCCAGAGATATAAAGTTCCATGTTCACACACACACACAAAATAAAACTTTTATAAAAAGGTTTTAGCCCCTCCAATAGCCTCTGAAATCTGTCTACTACCAAACAGAATAACCACTGAAGTGCATAGGAATAAAAAGAGACATTTCAGAAATAAGAAAACTCTTACCAACTTGAGAGATTTAATATGACAGTTGTATGAAATATGTCTATACATGTATATGCATATACATATATATGTATATAGTTGGACTGCCAAAAAGGATATTTTCATTTCAAAACTGTTTTCACTTGCAAAATATAGAAGAATCAACTTGCCAAAGTTGTTACATTAAAACAAAAAGGTGAGTAAAGAAAGGCCAAGTTAAAGAAATGCCAAAGGTAGCTTTTTAAGGGGAAGAAGGGGAATTAGAGGAAGGACAAAGGTAAGATTTAAGTAAAAGGTTTAGTTTAAGGTACTAAAAAAGCAACAAAAAGCATTTCCCCCTCCCCCTCCAAAAAACCCATCCTTCTTATAACTTCTTTTGCCATACAGGAAGATAAATGTTACAACACCTCGCCGGCCAATCAGCAGCATTATAAGCCTCAAACCAGGAAACCCTTGAGAGTACAGTAAAGCATAGTACAAATGATACTTCTCGATTTCAGCTAGTTTTTGTTCCCTATGCTTGTAGGATGGAAAAGCAGATGTGAAGTCTCTCATGGCGAAGTTTAACACTGGGGGCAACCTGACAGAGGAGGTCTTGGTTGGCAGTCGACCCTTCAAAGCAGGAGGACATCCTACCCCTTCAGGAATACAAGCAAGGAAAAGTGTATTCACGCATCAAGGAAATGACAGCCCACCTCCAGGGCCCAACAATTTATCAAAGTTTGGGACTCCAAGGCCTCCTTTGGGAGTAAAGCCTTCATTTGAAGAGAAAACTGACAAGGATCCCAAACCCCCATATCTGAAACCTACTGGAGCAGGTCAGAGATTTGGGACTCCAGCAAGTTCAGCTAACAGGGACCTGGAGGGAAAATCAGGATTTCCGAAACCTGTAGGTCTCAAACCTTTTGACCAGACAAAGGAAGAGTGCAAGCCTGTGTTCCTAAGGCCCTCTGGGAGCAAACCATTGCTTCATGCTGTCAACCAAGAGAATGACCCAAAAGTTCCTGGCCAAAAGCCTGTTTTCAATGCCCCAGCTCAAGAAAATGAAGCTAAACCAGTGTTTCCAAAGTTGGCTGGAGCTAAAGGAAAATTCATCACCCCTTCTCAAGACCATGATCCCAAGCCCCCTTACTCCAAACCAGCAGTTGGACAGAAACCAACTCCCAATGCAGATACCTCCCATGATGACCAGAGCCCCAACAAGAGCACATTTCCGCAGAAGGGGCCTGCGTCTGTCCCTCTCTCCAAGCCCAAAATCAGCCCTCTTAAACCAATGAGGGAAGATACAGAAAATAAAGACCATGGGACAGACCCCCCAAATATGCCTTTCCCTGGTGTGACTCTGAAACCTGTTACCAGCAGAAGTACACCAGGCTCAACCCTAAGCCTTCCCAAAAAAGCTGAAGAGAAAAAGGAAGAAAGGAAGATAGATGCAGCTAAGAACGTATTTATGAATAAAATGAATCAGGATGACCCTGGCTCAGGTGCAACTCCACCCAAGTTCCCAAAGCCACCTTCCAAGCTGATGGTGGGAGGGCCTTGGAACCAAAGTCAAGAGAAGGAAAAGGGAGATAAGAATTCTACCACCCCTAAGCAGAAGCCCTTGCCTGCGCTGTTTACCCTGGGTCCAGCCCCACAGAAACCCAGCAGACCACCTACTGTTGACCTGGCAAGATTCCGAAAGGCCAGTCCTGCAAACAGTGAGTTGTTCTGTCATTTGCTCCTTGGCTTGTTTCTTGCCATAGTAGAAGACATTTTAAACTCTAAAAAGATTTCTGACAACCCCAATCCTTTATGAATGTTATTTATTGGTGCACAGTAGTAGAGTGTCTCTGATGTTGTTTTCCTTGAGGACTGGAGAACTAAGAAGATGGTGGAGGTTTGGGGGTAATTCTGTCACTGAAAAGTGCTCTGCTTAGCTAACTCGGGGGTGGGGGAGGGTTGGAGCTTTCATTTGTTAGAATGAGAAGCTTCACTGGTGAATAGTAACTTTATTTCATCAGCTGAATGTTTTTACTTCTGTTAAAAAGGAATATGGTCTCATTCCCCATTATCTCAGAGGAGGTACCTCAGAGGAGATACCAAATGCATTTGATTTCTTGTGAGCAAGACAACGTTTTCCAAATTTCCAAGTATTTATTTGGCCCCCTTCATGAGATGAAGCAGAGCCTGCTGTCTGTATGACATCACTTTGTGCTGTGTGAGCTGGCTGATTTATGTCCATAGATATTAAAGGTTTATAGACTCTGATGACTTAATAAAGAAGCATTTAGTTAGGAGAATAAGCCTGGCCAAGTTCACTTTGTTCTCATTTTGACTACTTTAATTTTGCTACCAAATAATTTCCAATAATTCTAAAGATATATATGTATTATGTATATACATTCAATATATGTCAATTTCCATTTCAATTGAGCTAAAATAGTACTGCTCCTATAGCTAAGAGAAAAATCTCACCATAGTTCTGTGATGTTCAGTTTGGATAATTCATATCATATAGTTGTTCTTTGCAAGAAAAGAAAAGGATATTAATAAGGAAATTCAGAAATACCATGCTGTTATACTACAAATCCAAAGCTTTATTTACCCACAGTCTATTTGTTAGTTTATTTTATTTTATGGAATAAAACAAGCGTTTCCATAACATAGCACAATAAAAAAAAAGATGATTGTACACAAAACTGCAAATCCACATATTATTAGTAATAACGAAGAGAAACAACTTGGTGTGATGGATAGAGGACCAATCTTGGAGTCAGGAAGACATCTTGGTCAAGTCCTGCCCTGGACATAGAATAGCTGTATAACAATGGACAAATCACTTAATTTCTTGGTGTCCCAGGCAACTCTCAAAAACCATAATTTATCAAAGAGTTTACTGGTCTATATCGGTGGTAAGAATTTCTATTCTGGGAATTCTTCATAATAATGAAATTGTTAACCTAGACCAAAATAGTAATATTAATAATTCATAGATTTTATATATTGTTTTAAGTTTTTGAAACTGCATTCTTTACAATACTTGGAAGTTTCACACACACACACACACACACACACACACACACACACACACACACACCCTTATTCTTCTTTTACACATGGGTAAATGAAAGCTTTAAGAGAGGAAGATAACTTGTCCATGATTGCACAGCTGGCAAATGGCCAAGGTGCAGTTCAAACCCTTGTCTCCTGACTCAAGTTTGTCTTATTGGCTCTGATCACCTCACCATATGCTCTTTTACAAGAGGCAGTATTCTGTCTGAGTTGGTAAACAGTGAGAAGAATCAGATATTGTGAGATTTTCAACCTATCACATTCATGATCTAATGGGCAAGGCTACTGACCTCTGGAACTGTTCTCATGTATGCTAATTTCTTGGAGAGATGCACCTTGTTCAGTATGACATTTCCTAATCATCTCTGTATATTAGCCAAACTTTGTATCTTGTATCCTTGCTCTATAACTCATTTGATATTTGTTTGGAACCTTTTGGAAGTTACAGTTCCATCAAAATTAACTAACTTTATCTCCATTTTTATTCTTATTGCTAAAGTGCCTATACTAGGAAAGTAATTCTGACTTGAAGGCAGATCACTTGGAAGCATTTAATTTAATCCTATGTATACCACTTTTCTTCCTTATCTTCATATCTCCACTTATTTTATAACCCAATTAATTACTGTAACAAAACAGTTGATGTAACACATTTTTAATGGAATTCATAAGTAATACTCCCTTCATCCCTTTTATGCTAAAAATCTGACATCAGTAGTCTAAAGAGATGTCCGAATCAGCACATGAGAGTTTTCAATGCGTGGAGCCATAAGAATACTTGGCAAAATCTGTCTGGTGCTCCTTCAGGTGCCTGACTTTTGTGTTACCATACTCCCCTGTCATGTATTCCTTTAACAACCCAAAGCTCTCATTCAGCTGTTTTTTTTTTAAAAAAGCCTCTGATTCTATGCTAGACCAGGCAAAGCCCCTCATTGTACCATCCTATCCAAGTCTCTTTTCCGCTGAAATACCTCATGCTGCATAATGGCACCTGCTTCTCCATCACCTCCCACCCTCCATGAAAATTATCTAGAGAATTAGAGAGGTGCTGGGGTTAATTCTTTTTTTTAAATTTGAACTTAACAAGTACCAAATTATATGAGTGTTTCTATATAGAAAGTAGAACATAGAATTTGCACAAAACTGTGAATCTCTATTATTTATAGACTTGCTTTTCTTTTTAAGCATATAATTCAACATGCTATTTCCAAAGTTGTCCTACTTCTGTTTCCTACTGACCTTCCTTCTATTCTTTCATATGTATTTTAATGCTTCAGTGACCTTCTTTTCTTCCTTTTCCTCCCCATTTTGGTAAATGTATAGCCAGCCCCTTTTCCCCCTTAAATTTTTTTTAAAAAAAATTAATCCTTTGTATGAGATAAACGTAGTCCAACGAAAAAATTTTCTACATTGGCTGTGTCTAAACATAGTATGTCCCAATAGCTTTGTATATGTCAACAGCTTTAAAAGTCTTGGGGATCTGATCAATCACAATTCCAGAGAGGACTCGTGACGAAACAGGCTGCTCACCAGACTACCCACCTCCTGACAGAAAGTAATGGATTCAGAGTACAGATTGAGAAATATCTATATCTATTTCTCAATCTGCAGTCTGAATCCATCATCTTCCTTCAGGAGGTAGGTAGCCTATTTAGATAGATGTTGATATGTATATGAGATATATACACATACACACATACATCTACATAAATACATGCATATGCCACATGTATGTGTATTTGGGCAAGGCCAATAGGAGAATTTGTTTTGCTTGATTACATGTGTTTGTAAAGGGGCTTTGGGGGGTTTTTTGATGGTGGGTCTTTGTGAAAATAAAATTCTATTTTTAATTTTTAATTAAAAAAAACAAAATGTATATTTCTTATTCTATACCTAGAGTCCATCACCTCTCTGTCAGGAAATATATAATATGTTCTGTTACCAGTCCTCTGGTGTCATAGTTGATCACTAAATTGATCTGAGTTGTCTTTCTTGTTTTTTCTTATCTTTTCTTATTTTTCTTCACAAAGAAGATCGCTGTTTACAATGCTGCTATATAAATTGTTCTCCTGTTCATTTCATCAGTTCATACTGAGTTGTCTTTCTTGTTTTTTCTTATCTTTTCTTATTTTTCTTCACAAAGAAGATCGCTGTTTACAATGCTGCTATATAAATTGTTCTCCTGTTCATTTCATCAGTTCATACAAGACTCCCTAGGCTTGTCTGAAACCATCCCTTTCAATTATTTCTTGATGTATAATAATCCATTATATACATATACTATAATTTCTTTAGCCATTCCATCAAATTATGCAACCTTTAGTTTTCGAGATTTTGATATCTTTGAACACTTTTGTATAAATGGGTCCTTTTCCTCTTTCTTTGATTTCTTTGAGGTATATATAATAGAATCACTGAGTCAAAAGGTATACGGTTCAGTGCCTTCTGGATTAGAGCTCCAAATTGCTTTCCAGAATGGCTGGGCCAATGCATAGCTACACCAACAATATATTATTAGTGTAGCTACAGCTTTTCCACTAATTTTCATTTTCTCTTTTTATAATTTTTTTCTAGTCTTATGGGTATTACAATAGTTGTTTTTAATTTACATCTCTTCAGTTATTAGTGTTTTAGGGTATTTTTATGTTCATTGATAGCTTGGATTTCTTCCTTTGAGAACTGCATATTCACATGTAGCATGTGGCCATTTTGGGGGGGCTTGGGGAATTTGGGGGGGAATGTTTTTATTTTTATGTATTTGAATTAATTTCTTATCTATCTTGGAAAGCATACTTTTATCTGAGAAACTTGCTGCAGATATTTTGAAGAGGAATTCAACTAAAATGCCCTAGTTGATTAAGTGCAGGTGAGATAGAATATTTTTGAGTAAGGAGGATATGTTTTGATCCTTTCCTATTCTACCTAACCACCTAATTCTGCACTGCTCCCCAACTCCTATAACCTCAAGAGTTAACTTGGCATTTAACTTTGCAAAGGTCAACAATCCCTGCAAGAAACTTCAAGGCCACTGAAGTTATCAAAATATGATAGTCAACCCCCTCATATCACATAAACCTATGCATATGTATATATGTTTATTTACTTATTTATAATGTGTTGCAAATATAATCATGTATCTGGTATCATAATGTCTTACTAGTATCATAATGTATGGTACTTCAACCTTCTTCCAAAGTATGTTCACATTTCATTTATCCTCATAATTACATTGGATAAGGATTACTGTCCTTCTTTTATATTAACGTGTAAAGGCATAAAATGACTTGCCCAAGACCAAACAGTTAATTAATAGTGAACATAGGCCTTTTGACTCCCAATATTCATCCGTTTTCCATTAGATGGTCACGTGTATCTCAGTATGTGTGTGTGTTTATGTTTACGTATTTGAGTTACTTATATGTGTATAGAATACATAAATCATGCTTACTTGCTTTAAAAGTACTGTCAGAAGATGAAAAAGTATTTTTCACACAAAAAAAATTAACAAACCCTATTCATTTCAGAAATTCCCTACCTTTCTTCCTCCTCCTATTTGCCCAATGCCTTTTACCAAAGGGGAATGACTGGATAAAGTCCTAATGGAGCTGGCTCTAGGCCCTACTCTTATTCCTCTACCTATGATGGA